TGTGGCGTAGTGGTAGCGGTCCGGCTGAAAGGGGACGATTCTGAGGGTTTGCTCCCCGTCGGTGCGGAACTTTTTGCTTTCGCTCTGATAACAGCTTTCACACTAGTTCTTGAAATTTCTGCGAATTAACGACAACAGAGCAAGCTGATCAATATCTGACTTTGGAGCGACCAGAATTTTGTTCCTGTGGGTAGTTTAACCCTTTGAATGCATATATCACGACCGTTTGACGGAAAACGTGTGTAGCATGCGCCGTAAAAAGCTGGGACGCGCTGGCGAAGTCATCATAAAACACAGAATCCACTGAAATGCTTCCTCTAGAAGCCTTTCTACTTCCGGGCTGCCAACATTGCTTCCGTTGAGCATGAAAACGTTAGCCTTGAAGACGCCAGCACCAGGCGCTTTTCACGTTGTTATCGTGCATCTATAGTGAGGTAGCCTGTTGCCTCCGCGTTAAACGGATGTGATGTTCGTATTCAGGGGTCAAACTACCCCCAGTAACAAGTTTCTGGTCAAACTGATTTGGTCCAAACTTCGCATTCTCGGTGAGGTGATAAGCGTCGTCAGGGGTATACAGTGAACAATTCTAATTTGATCTACCAGGTCAGATACTTGATCTAATCACTCTGCTGGGTTGTTGACTCATGGAAATTTCGAAAATTGGTAAGAAAACTGTTATTGGAGTGAAAGCAAAAACTTCCGCTTCTACGGAGCAAAACGGGATGGCGTGCCTGAAGAGAGAATGATACCACTAGGCCGCAGTGGCACCGGTCGGCAACCAGCAGAGCTTCTCAAAACCGAATTTCCGCGAAATCTGACAGCCCAGTACTCGTCTGGGAGGCCCCGTAGCATATTCGTAATCAGAAACTATATCAATGTACCTAGGTCTCAAGTCAAAGATGCATGGGAACTTGAAGCCATTCCCTTGTAAGTCGCAAGATGTGAATGCGGCTCCACTGAAAGTAACAGAAAGAAATAGAGCGCAATGTGAATAGGAACTCATTGCTTTCGGATACGTATCAAAATCTTTTCTTAGAATGCTTCTGCTTGATGAGGACGGAGCTTCTACCATACCTGATAATGTATCCGATGTTGACGAAACTGGGCTCAGTGGTCGCGGTTCAGCAAGCCTTGATGGGCGAGAGTCCCCGTTGAGTCAAGCCCCTAGTCATGGTTTGCGAGAGGGACAGGAAAACGGTAAGTTTCAGTGTTTACAGTGTGCAAAGTTTTCAAAGGCCAACTCGTAGACAGTAGCTATTTTAAGAGATGGCAGACCTTGGAGCAGTGTCAACGGCAGCGGGTGGCGAAACTGATGCTGCCCAGCGTGTACTTCCTTCAGGGGTCCCGGTTGCCGTGCGTAAACAGAATGCCGAGGGACTTGAGGAAAAGTTCGGGAAGTTTACTGTGCCGATGTCGCAGCAAAATAGACGTAATTTACTTTATATCTTCAGAATGTCGTCAATCAGACAAAAATTGTTATCTCGACTATTATTGTAAAAGTTTAGGTGATGATCAAAGGTCACTATTGTCTGACAGCTGGTCAACCAATGTGGTGCCTTCTGATGATGAAGGTCCATCTTTGCCTCTTCTACCACACCTTCCCTCTGTTGACGCTCCAGACGGCATCAATCATCGAGGGCGTGCTGTCAACCGGTAGTTTTTCGCGCTACTTCGAAATAAGAGTTCGTGATCTTCATACTTTAGTACTGGATCGCTTTGCGGAGCTAGTGGAGCTACCGAAGACAGAAGTGACACGTGGTCTCTAGATGCAATAGCAAGCGACTCCGAGGCCGATGGAGGTCGGGAGCGAGGACGACAAGTTTGTAGTTTTCTATTTCTTTCCTACTTACAGCAGAGGTGTCGAAGGAGGGATACGAATGGCTCGTCTGGGGGGGGGGTGTGTTTCGTTACCTCGGCTGTCTTCTCATCTAGTAGAGCCCAGAACTCGTCCTTGGATTGTACAGAGCATAGTTTGCAGAGCATAAGTGGTACAGTCTAGCTCGACGGCAGCAACAATCTTCATTAAATGGTCGTCAAATCGATCTACGCTAGCAATCAAGTCGCGAAATCGCTGAGACAGAATTACAGCCACCACTTGTAGTTTTTGGCCCACCATAAAGAGCGGCTTCTAAGGCGCGACTACTTTCCTTTGACCTGTGGTCGAATTATATCTGCGCGAATGTTGATCCTTCTACGCTCTAGCGCTTCTGTCAATCCGTGCGAACGCCCAGTCAACGTCGTAACGTTCAGCGTTGCGACGCGAGCCTTCAACACGCTGCGTGATTTTTGTTCTAGCCGAGTTCCCCCCCCCCCCCGATGCAGTCTTTGCGGAGACCCTCGCATCCGGCTCCCGCGGACGCCGTAGCATTAACACCGAGCATATATGGCTACGTCACAGTGATGTGACATGGGGTATTCGTAGGTCGGCCATCATGAAGGCCTGTCACCTGCATTAGAGCATCCACTTTTAGCTTAGACCGCAGGAACGAACACAGTTCCCGGTGGCACCACGTGGAGGAGCGCACTCACCATCGCATTAAATAAGTCATTACTGTTATGACAGAGTTGGTGCGTGCCGCAGCACAAAAATGGGTCGCCCAACTGCGACGGCTATGTCATTTATGACTTTACTATTTACTGTAACATAGTTGACATATTGGAGCTGAAGTCCTATGCTTCTAGGTCACTGATGTTTCCTACGATATATCTCGAGCTGAACGGAATGGTAGCTCTGACGCGGCAGCGTCGGTATGTTAGCAGTAATCCTAACTCCATGCAGATAATTTATACGCTGTCTTGTTCAGCATATCGCCGTACCATGCGTCAGTGTGCAACCGCTTGTCGACGTACCTCATCATGGGGATAGTGGAGCAAGACTAAGACGACATAGCAGTGGCAGCTCATTCTCATACAGCCGTAGTGAAGCGGATTCGGAGATGAGCAAGTCTGTTATTTTATACTTAATCACTGAAGTACACTTTGCGCAAAGGTTTTTATTACGGTCTTTATCCCGTGTTCCTTTCTACGACTCAGGCTCTCACAAAATGCTGGGTTATAAGTGCCGTTGTCATAATAGTAGTTTTTTTTTCAGCTTCAGAGAAGATCGGCATATAGATCGTATAGGAGGGCCAACCGATTCACTGACTGCTGCACGCGCACAGGTAGTCACTGTTGCGTTTTTTGTTTCCTCTGCAATAGCAGTACCGCTCGCCACTCTGTCACCCCACTCCTTGAATATTACATTTCACGGAATTCTCTGTAATGCTCCGCGAATGTGGTTTGTGAGCGAGTTGCATCGTGTGCTCCGCAAGTTTTCTTCTATATAAGTACACATTGATTTTTGGAAACAGTACTTGTTCGAAACTCGATGTCATTCAGCCCCAAAAGCAGCAGTCCGCTGATCAACCTGGACCATCCGGAGCGTGTGCTTCCTCGTTCAGTTCTCCTTCGCACTCATCGGTTGTAGGAAGCGCTCATGATGTGGAGACCTACTATGCACCATCCTCGCCTTCTAATTCCGGCCGAAAGAAGTTTGCTCTTTTCCAACAAGGCCTTCTGAAAGTTGGTGATAAAGTAAGAAAAGGTATGTGGTGATAACGATCGTCTGCAGCTGCAATGCATATCATATATTGTGCATGTGCAGTCACGTTTCCGTTCAGGAATGACAGGCTCGTCGTTTCGTCAGATACCGCATTCCTCAACAATTTCCGACTTGCTTAGTGAATGGAATTCGTCTAGGCGAGAACAAGAATCAGCCCACTCTGCGATCCCAAATAGCCAGAGTGAAAATCACATTGCTGGTTAGTTGGCCTCTACATCATTTTTGCCTTTGATATTGATCTTATCCTTAGGGTTGAAGATTATTTCACGATCACCCACTAGATGGAATCTCTCCTGCGTATACAATAAGCAGGTCGCTGTGTAGTACCTGTCACTCGGCATTCCAGAGAGCGGTAAAAAGCCGAGGGATTTCTGACTCGTGTCGTATGATTCAGCCTTCGCTCACACACAGGATAGCCGCATTTGGTGCGGCCTCATAGGGTTTCTCGACTTTGTGAGCAGCTTCGTGTCTCTAGCCCGTCACCTCGCGGGCTGGTGTCTCTGCCTCTCTCGTTGTAGTACGTGCTACTCCAACAAGGAAAACGAGAAGGGCCTCATTTCTGACGTTCCTGACGGTTTTTTGTGCAGTCTACTTATGAATAGGCCATTTAGCAACCGCAAATTTATATGCTCCCCTATCCACCTACAGTCTGCAAAATGCGTCTCTTAGTATAGACAGGGCCTCCACCCTAAAAACTTCTCTTTGCTATCACAAGAATGCTGAGTTATGGGCAAGAAGTGTGACCCAGGCGGGAGTCGAACCCGCACCTCACGCTTTCCGAGGCGAGTGCGCTATCCGTTACGCCATCCAGGCCGCTCTGACCCTCTCCAGCTCAACGGCTTTATGCTGTAGCCCTACAACCCACAGGTTAAACATTATGGGCCCCTGAGTGGTGGGAATCATTAAAAAAGAAATCTCTTCTTTGTTTGCTTTCTTTTCTCGAAAAAATACATTCACAATAAATGCTGCGATGTCACGGTATCGGTTAACAAGTGAGTGGCTGGAATTACTGGGGGTACTTCTTCCTCCATGCACTGTTGGAATGAGCCATGAGTCATGGATGAGGAAGACTAGGGGATACGCCTCGGCACGAAAAGCTCCAAAATTATATCCGTTTCCTCTGGTTACTTTGTGCCTTTGTCCTCCCTTTAAGGAGTAGTATCCTACACTGGTAGTGGAATTTTCATAGTGGTTTGGTAGTAGGCAGTGAATCACTGTTTAGAGGAAAGCCCTGCGTTTAAAAAAGTAATTCGTTGCGCGGGCTCAAATACGCATTACGAGGTGGTAATTAGTACAGCAGTGCAGAAAAAAACTCCCGAAACGTATAGAACCACATGTTACTGCGACTGTACGTGCATAAGGTGAAGAATGGGCAGTGTCGAATGAGTTTTCACCTTTTGGTGCCAGCTCTTTCTCCTTAACACTTCGACGTCGCGACTTTCGTACGATTTCTTCGCTGTCCTGCCCGTCCAACGGCCGCAGCCACGAAGGCAAACTACGAGTTCGGCCAGCTGTTTGAGTGAGCAATGTCAGGATCCAAGCTGGGGTCCCCGCGCACCACCGTAACCGACGCACTGCAGGCTCAACATCGGGCAGTCCGCCCTGTTCCTTCCCTCTCTGCTCGTCAGTTCCACCTTCATCTGTCCCCCCCCCCCCAGCGTGTGTCCGCAGAGTGGTAGCTCCTCCGGTTCCTCCGCTTCGAGTGTCGTGCGCAAGTTACCGGAGCGGGCAGGCCCTCCGCGTCACGACATCATCTTTTTAAACGCACAATCTTTTACTCTCAAACCACAAATAGAAATCTTCTCGGTGCATTCAAAACAAAATCAACGAAATCGTAAAACTCATACAAAGTTGAAGTTGCTTGGTAAAACTGAGATCACATTGTGAACTATACACAGGAAAACATTTATCAGTATCATAAATGTAACCACTTGATGATTTCATTGCTCTTGCTTCTTTGCGGAGCCAATCTTGGTCATGCTCATCAGCTGAGCAAACTCCAAACTTCGTTTTTTTCCGCAATTTGAGTTGCAGCCGGATGCAGAGCTGTGATGATCATCGTCTTCGAATTACCAGCTCCAAGGCTGTCACGCAGAATCACTGTCAGCTTCGAATTACGATATGGTATGTGCTGATTCTTGCTCAGCTGACATCGGATACAGTTCTGCAAATTGGACAGTGCTGCGTTGACGTGTGCCATTTCCTCTGAGCGCTCGCCTTCAGCACCGGATTCCTCGACTTTCCAAAGCCAGCAAGATCGACCAGATGCAGGCAGGCGGTTTGAGAAGCTCCTGAAGTCTTGTCAAGCCATTGGATTGCAAGTTCGATCACGGCGTGGCCTCTGCTCGATTGCCCGTTGCATTTCGTAGCTGCAGTCGACTTTGTCCTGTCCGTAACTGCGAAAATGTCCTCGATTTCATTTGTATGATTGATTTCATTATATTTCAAGTCGATCACACAAGTGTTGCCCGATCCCATCTTAATATTTAACTTTTTGCCGTTCACCAAGAAGGTCATACACTTCTTCGTTATACACTTCAATGTATGATGCCTTGAACTCAAACGTTCAGTCCAAATCCGCCAGTTTATCTCTAGACTGGAAAACATATTTTACACTCGAGGACAGTACCATCCGAATCGCCTTAATTTCCTCTCAATGTGTGCGTTTATCCAGTGCCAGTTTGTCCGTATGCTATAATTGACACATTATAAACGTGGGGGCAGGACAAAATGAGTTCTTCTACGACGTTAAACCCACGAGTTTTACTCATATCTGGACCAAATACGCGTTGAAACAATACTTCGCGATCCTTTGCCCTGATCGAGCCTGGTTGAAGAGCTTTTGGACATCGTGAATGATTTATTGGTACATCCAATTCCTGACCAAATGGCGGTCGCACACGGCTGCTACATGAATTTGGCTCTCCAAATCAACGACGGTGTTGTGTAGCAGTCGCATGGCGTCGGAGCTCGTCACGCTTTGCAGCTGGATGCGATATCAGACGTCCAATGTCTTCCATTCTCTCGCCCATCTCATGTTTGAGCTTAGAGATTTCAGACTCCTTCGCATCAACAGATGGCACGATTGCCGATTTGTCTTTCTCTGCTTCCAAAGCCATTTGAATAAGTATTCAACATGTTGTCCTCAAGGGCGATAGTTTGTTCGCAACACTAGCGAATTCTGGACCATATCCAAAACCTGGTCTTTCAACGCCAACTGCCTCTTGGTGAGTTCCGATTCTGCTCTGGTCTTTACGGTTCTCCCTCGAGCTGGATAATCTTCGCCATCACTTTAGCCACTTACGCGTTTTCGCGGTGAACGGATGAAGAGGATGATGATTGGCAAATGGTGGAAGTGCTTTGATTCTGTGAAGGACCGGAACGTGTGCCTGCCGTACTGCTTTTTCGATTTACTGCTGCGGCTGTTGTTTGTAGACAACGCGGTTGCAATCGCATCGTCGCTCGGCCAATTTTCATCGAATCGGGTAGCATTACTGCATAGAAGTGGTTGTACCGGAAAGAGCTGGCTTCTTTGCGACTGTTGTGCCTTGATATTCTATGCCGTTCTTCCGATCTGAAGGTTTCGAGTTACATAAAAAGTAGCGGGTATCAGTGATAATTCTGTCCTAGAAGTTGGCCTTTGAATGCCTGATCGTGCGCTTCCGAGTACTTTCGGCTTTGGACTAGCTAGACCTCCTTCCACTGTGATTGGCATTGTCCCCTCTGAATGGGTGACCGACCTCGTAGCTTGTCATTGCGGCCGTTAGAAGGGCAGGAGATTGAACAGGTCGCGCGAAAGTTGCGACAAATTGGTAAGGAGAAAGAGCTGGCACCAAAAGGTGGAGATTCATCCAATCACTCCCATTCTTCACCTTATGCACGTACAAACCCGGATCAGCACGAAAGTCACGACACTGGGGGGCGGCGAAAAGGGAAGACAGACTTAGCAACGACAGCTACCGGTGGGGCCTACTTTGATGTGGTTCCCGTAGCTTCTCATGAGTGCAGGTTAGTCGATTGGAATGTACGGTGAGAAGTAAATGTACGGTTGCCTACAGTAAGTGACAGTGCGAGTAATGTACAGTAATGAAATATGTGTCATGCGGAACAAGTGCAACCAACAAATAATGATCCTCGTCTTCGGCTGCTGCGTTGTTGTCGTCGTGGTCAGTTGCTTCGACCACTTGCAGCGTCGGTTGCGGTAGAGTTTTGCAGCGTGATGATTAATGACGGCGAGATGCGATGTACAAGAAATGTGATTTTGCAGAGCTGGAAGTGGATTTGCGTGAGGGAGAGATTTTTCCTCGCCTAATGCGCAAGAGCCCGTGATAACGAAAGAAGGGCACTTGGAATACCCTGAGGAAAGCAAAATATCCCCTAGCGGTTTCCCATCGCTCTCGGCTGCTGCGAATAAAAACAACTGCGAGGCGTGCGACAGTTTCGACAAAAAGACGTTTGTGAGGCCCTGTGCATTGGGACTATGATGAGTGGCTTGCGGCGTAGCGACTGCTGCGGGGCATAGAGCACTATTTTGAGCTGATGCATGGATACGGCTTCTGCGAGACTTGCGCCTTTAGTGAGCAACGTGTGAAGTTTACGCCTTGTGTTGTTGACAAAGGCGAGGCTTTTACCAAATGAGTTGATATGCGCGAGGGTAGTCCGTTGAAGTGATAGTCAGATGTGTTTTCTGGCGATCAGTGATGGATGATGTCCGAAAAGGGGAAATAACAAAATAGTGAAGTGAGCGGCAAAGGATATGCCGTGACCTGATAATCTCCACTACCTAATCAGAACTCATAATGATACGGCAACCGACTGAAAAACCATCGCTCGTGTAACTCACTGAATGTCATGCTAAAACATATCCTTGTCTAGTCAAGCTCCAATATTACCTGGCTACGAATTTTCTGTATCGACCATATTTTTTTAATCTCCTTTCACAGTTGAAAATTGAAATTACTGCTCTCAAGATCTTAAAAAAAAATCGGCATCTATAGGTCAAGTCACATCCGATATCATACGACAACTTCATGTTTTTCATTCTGATGTTATCGTGGCTTGGAAGCATCTGTTTGGGCCACTCAATTTACGGCCACCGCCTCGTCACCATCTAATCGCTTAATGCGATTGCACATATTCTGATGCTAAACCCGGTGAACCGAGGTGCGAGTGGAGCTCTGAGTGCTACTTTGGGCTCATTCTGGAGTGGAGCCACCTCTGACATCAGCTGCTGAACTAAATTTAAAAAATCGAGCTAAATCTCAGGAATTCTATGATATCTGGTGTGTTTTAATTGACCTATGTTTTCAATTTTTTCTCCTCCCAGGGGACACATCCTGGGGATGCCAAAATAAATGAATAAAATAGATAAATGAAATTTATATGCAAAGTACATTGATATGGCATCCAGTGTGTTTCACCCAGCCAGTTTAATTTAACCAGTAATGTCAAGCAACAGTATCATTCTGAGTTGCCTTTCTCTGGTTTTTATCATTGTGATTGCCGGCAAATCTGATCAACTGGTTAACAGAAATAGGCAATCAAAACATATGCGTGGTGAATATAGAAGTAATTTACTATTACTGATCGAGCCCTTTTGAAATTAGTGTTTCGGCGCACGCGCTGCACCGCGACGCGTGGTCACTGGGACACAGATATGCTGCTATATATTTTCAACACGCTCACGACCGCGCGGGTTTTTCCTTTTTCGGCTACGTGGGACACGCGGCTCATTTGAACGCGGCAAGCGTGATACGTATATAATTCAACGAGGCGCCTGTCCTAAGGTTGGATCAGAAAATCTGGTTCAGAGAACAGTCATAAAGTGAACCAATGTGTATACTAGAAGCAAATAAAACGATCACATTACGACAAAAACTCAGCAGAAAAAGACGCTTTTCCAGGCGTAAAAAGACTAGGAGTTTTGATAGCGTTGAGAATAATTCGAGATGATGCGAGGAAATATTTCTCCATTTGATAACGCAAAAGCAGTGGTGTTGCTTGAAAGCATACAAGAATTTGATAGGGAGAAAGAGAATGAATCAGTTCAAAACAGACTTGGTTGAATCGTTGCTGGACTGTGAGTGAGATCAGCCCCATGCTACAAGACAAGAGCTGTAAGAAGTACGTGACCACAAGAGCTGTTCAAAGCATAAGAGCTTAACGACGGGTCTACAACGGGGAAAGTTCTTTAAGAGGGGATTTTTGGGAGTCGCTTAAATTCGGTTAACAATGCCAACCTGTTGCTTCACAGCCCTGCTTTCTCCTCTTCAGAAGCTCTGTTCTCGAAGAAATTATGGGTGTTTAAGCGAAGGGTATTCCCAGAGTGCTTGGCTTGGAACTGAATTCGAACCGTGAAATAGCTCGCTCCAATGCCACGGCACAAAGCGTGCTCTAACTCTGAACTGCAACTTTGGATGGCAGCAAACAATTAATATTTGAGGGCTGGCACGTGCATTTCCCGTATTTTCTTTTTTGTCTTATTATGCTTAATTTATAGTTTATTGTTTTTGTTCATTTATTTATGGATTATTATAGCTCATTTTCTTTGGTTTCTCCCATTTATCCCTGACTACCATCTCGTCTTTTTTACCGTTTATTTTCCCAGATCTCCCAATTTTTCGGTGTTCGTCTGCTGCCTGCCTGGTCCTCTGCTAGCAGAATAGCAGCGGGCAATACGTCGGGGGGGGGGGTCGTAACGAGACCATTCTTAGGGAAGGGGAGGGGTCGTATTGGCAGAAATTTATGGCAACGGGACTGGGTGCCTGGGGGATCGCCGAGACCTGGGCAGAATTTGAAGTTGACGAGGTCCCATAGACGTTACGGACCGAAGATGCGGGCTGGCGACAGGGAAGACTTGCGCTTTCATATCCATGTGCCAGAGATATATCCAATACCTAACCTAGGCTGCGGACCTGACTGCGACGTATATTCGGCTGGTGCCATTCCAGGTTCCGATGAGTGGGCGTCAAGCCCCAGGGGTAAAGGTAGAGTCCCAGTGAACCTCCTTCATAGCCATCTTCGAGAAGCTCAGAACCAACCGAAAACTGTCTCACGCAAGCTCTAGATGATTCCCCGTTGCGATGTAGAGACACCAAACCGCGAGGAAGGGGGGGGAGGCTCCCCCCCCCCTTCCTCGCGGCTTGGTGTCTCTACATCGCAACGTGGAATGAACGGGTCTTAATTCTAGCGTTTCTGACGGTTTTTTTTATGCAGTAGGACATTTTGCACCCACTAATTCATACATGGGCCCCCTCCCCACCTGCAATCTGTGAAAAGCCTCTGTAAGCCTAGGCAGGGTCTCCACTCCAAAACTGCTGCTTTTTTGCGTTCGCAATCATTAAGTCAATCTATAACAGAAAAATTTTCGTATATGTTACCGTGAGAATGTGAAACGTTTACTGGCAAAGACTAATGTCGAAAATGTAGAAGAACGCGTACCTTTCGACTTAATCAAACAATATCAGGAAAAATACGTTTTCTGCCCTCTTGACAAAGCAAATAATAACTATGGCATTATCTGCAAGAAGTTCTACCTTATCAACCTTATGTACGAAATGGGCATTACTCAGACTTGACCACAACTATAGAACATCATTAATCACCATTGATTGGTAGAATTAGTTATAAGTTGTATAATAAAACGGATGATTTGGCTCCAATGTAATCAAATCTCCTTTGGTCGCACAGATATTTCCCCTATTAACAAAGCTTTTGTTATATACGCAGAAACATTAAGCTTAGCAAACACCTCAGTTCTTTGATATGTCCGTAAGAAAAATATTGCACATGGTCACGACACTTTTGAAAAACTCACGAAGAAGACTTCATTATTACTAGCATAGTGAAATGTATTTGCAGAAACTGATTTATCAGTTATAAATACTCAATCGCAAGTAACTATAAAATGATAGGTAGACTGGTTCGAAGTAGTCTCGTTAGCAGCGGTGTTCAATAGTTTCTCATTTTATCATTTCAATTTTTGTTGTAACCTTTTGTACTTAGTTTCAACCGTGTCATAAGTGTCGTATACCCACCCTCATTCCCTCAGTTGGTTTAGCCTACCAGTACAAAGTACAAGTACCAGTACAAAATTCTTCCGTTTACACGTATTGTTCACACTTCGCGTGATACCCTTCTTTCATTTTTCTTTCTTATTCCGTTAACCTCATTTCTAATGCATGAGTTTTGCACGTGCACCCATCTTACAACTTCCTGTTCTATCCTTTCTCTGAACTCCTTCCACGTGTAGTCTGTGCCCTTTTTTCTTTGACCCTACTTCGCCAAAGAGTCTGGGGGTTGGCGAGACAACGACGGTTGGTCTGGGGGAAAAGGCGAAACAGACCATCTCTGCTTTGGGGGTTTTCTTTTCCCAACAAGTTTTTCCTTGTTTCTACTTGTACGTGCATAAGGTGAAGAATGGGAGTGATTTGATGAATCTCCACCTTTTGGTGCCAGCTCTTTCTCCTTACCAATTTGTCGCAACTTTCGCGCGACCTGTTCAATCTCCTGCCCTTCTAACGGCCGCAATGACAAGCTACGAGGTCGGTCACCCATTCAGAGGGACAATGCCAATCACAGTGGAAGGAGGTCTAGCTAGTCCAAAGCCGAAAGTACTCGGAAGCGCACGATCAGGCATTCAAAGGCCAACTTCTAGGACAGAATTATCACTGATACCCGCTACTTTTTATGTAACTCGAAACTTCAAACGGAAAGGCATAGAATATCAAGGCACAACAGTCGCAAAGAAGCCAGCTCTTTCCGGTACAACCACTTCTATGCAGTAATGCTACCCGATTCGATGAAAATTGGCCGAGCGACGATGCGATTGCAACCGCGTTGTCTACAAACAACAGCCGCAGCAGTAAATCGAAAAAGCAGTACGGCAGGCACACGTTCCGGTCCTTCACAGAATCAAAGCACTTCCACCATTTGCCAATCATCATCCTCTTCATCCGTTCACCGCGAAAACGCGTAAGTAGCTAAAGTGATGGCGAAGATTATCCAGCTCGAGGGAGAACCGTAAAGACCAGAGCAGAATCGGAACTCACCAAGAGGCAGTTGGCGTTGAAAGACCAGGTTTTGGATATGGTCCAGAATTCGCTAGTGTTGCGAACAAACTATCGCCCTTGAGGACAACATGTTGAATACTTATTCAAATGGCTTTGGAAGCAGAGAAAGACAAATCGGCAATCGTGCCATCTGTTGATGCGAAGGAGTCTGAAATCTCTAAGCTCAAACATGAGATGGGCGAGAGAATGGAAGAATAAATAAATAAACAGTCTTACCTGCATTCCGTGAGATTATCAGGTGAATAATACGTGATCACTTGCTCGGATGGTGCACTTTCTGAGGCTGATGAAGCTAGTTCAACTGGTGGTTGAACCTCATCTGGGAACTGTGCAGCGGCTGGTTGGTATTTTGCCAAAATGTCATCAGCGGAACGTTGATCGAAGTCTGTTGAAAGAGAATTAAACTAATTATCCGGCACTATTTACCCTTTACTGCCCCAGTCCAGTTGCTGGCCGACTTTTTTCTCCGTGGGCAGAATTTGCTGAAAACTTGGCTCCAGGGGTAGTTCGACCCGCTGAACACGAATATCGCATCCGCTCACCCGAAACCTCCTGGCGCCCGCGCCACGGGCGCCGGCGCCAAAATACCCCAAATCATTGGCGCCTGTGGCGCGGGCGCCAGGAAGTTTCGGGCTGAGCGAATGCGATATTCGTGTTCAGCGGGTCAAACTACCCCTGGAGCCAAGTTTTCAGCAAATTCTGCCCACGGAGAAAAAAGTCGGTCAGGAACTGGCCTGATTTCGGATGACTGGGGCAGTAAAGGGTAAATAGTGCCAATTATCTTAATCCTCATTAATTTCCGTAGGGATTCTAAAGTTGTTACAGAAACAGAAAAATGGTAAATCAAAGGCACGCACCGCGTTCATCTGATGTTTAGGCTTCTTCCTCGGACATGGTGATATGGTCCACAAGCATGTAGGATGTCTCACCTCTACAGTCAAAAATGCGCAATGAAAACGCGACCCACTCGCAATGAGGGCACGGCTCCGCGCACTGGAGCGGCAATGCCCAGTTTTCATTTCCAAAGGTTTACGGGTCGCGCGACTGTTCCATTACTAACTCTTTCCGTTTTGAATGGCGAAAATGAATTATTCCGAGACTCCCTCACGACTTCACCGGTGTCCTGCCTGTCCATGGCCGCAGCCACGAAGGCAAACTACGAGTTCGGCCAGCTGTTTGAGTGAGCAATGTCAGGATCCAAGCTGGGGTCCCCGCGCACCACCGTAACCGACGCACTGCAGGCTCAACATCGGGCAATCCGCCCTGTTCCTTCCCTCTCTGCTCGTCAGTTCCACCTTCATCTGTCCCCCCCCCCCAGCGTGTGTCCGCAGAGTGGTAGCTCCTCCGGTTCCTCCGCTTCGAGTGTCGTGCGCAAGTTACCGGAGCGGGCAGGCCCTCCGCGTCACGACATCATCTTTTTAAACGCACAATCTTTTACTCTCAAACCACAAATAGAAATCTTCTCGGTGCATTCAAAACAAAATCAACGAAATCGTAAAACTCATACAAAGTTGAAGTTGCTTGGTAAAACTGAGATCACATTGTGAACTATACACAGGAAAACATTTATCAGTATCATAAATGTAACCACTTGATGATTTCATTGCTCTTGCTTCTTTGCGGAGCCAATCTTGGTCATGCTCATCAGCTGAGCAAACTCCAAACTTCGTTTTTTCCGCAATTTGAGTTGCAGCCGGATGCAGAGCTGTGATGATCATCGTCTTCGAATTACCAGCTCCAAGGCTGTCACGCAGAATCACTGTCAGCTTCGAATTACGATATGGTATGTGCTGATTCTTGCTCAGCTGACATCGGATACAGTTCTGCAAATTGGACAGTGCTGCGTTGACGTGTGCCATTTCCTCTGAGCGCTCGCCTTCAGCACCGGATTCCTCGACTTTCCAAAGCCAGCAAGATCGACCAGATGCAGGCAGGCGGTTTGAGAAGCTCCTGAAGTCTTGTCAAGCCATTGGATTGCAAGTTCGATCACGGCGTGGCCTCTGCTCGATTGCCCGTTGCATTTCGTAGCTGCAGTCGACTTTGTCCTGTCCGTAACTGCGAAAATGTCCTCGATTTCATTTGTATGATTGATTTCATTATATTTCAAGTCGATCACACAAGTGTTGCCCGATCCCATCTTAATATTTAACTTTTTGCCGTTCACCAAGAAGGTCATACACTTCTTCGTTATACACTTCAATGTATGATGCCTTGAACTCAAACGTTCAGTCCAAATCCGCCAGTTTATCTCTAGACTGGAAAACATATTTTACACTCGAGGACAGTACCATCCGAATCGCCTTAATTTCCTCTCAATGTGTGCGTTTATCCAGTGCCAGTTTGTCCGTATGCTATAATTGACACATTATAAACGTGGGGGCAGGACAAAATGAGTTCTTCTACGACGTTAAACCCACGAGTTTTACTCATATCTGGACCAAATACGCGTTGAAACAATACTTCGCGATCCTTTGCCCTGATCGAGCCTGGTTGAAGAGCTTTTGGACATCGCGAATGATTTATTGGTACATCCAATTCCTGACCAAATGGCGGTCGCACACGGCTGCTACATGAATTTGGCTCTCCAAATCAACGACGGTGTTGTGTAGCAGTCGCATGGCGTCGGAGCTCGTCACGCTTTGCAGCTGGATGCGATATCAGACGTCCAATGTCTTCCATTCTCTCGCCCATCTCATGTTTGAGCTTAGAGATTTCAGACTCCTTCGCATCAACAGATGGCACGATTGCCGATTTGTCTTTCTCTGCTTCCAAAGCCATTTGAATAAGTATTCAACATGTTGTCCTCAAGGGCGATAGTTTGTTCGCAACACTAGCGAATTCTGGACCATATCCAAAACCTGGTCTTTCAACGCCAACTGCCTCTTGGTGAGTTCCGATTCTGCTCTGGTCTTTACGGTTCTCCCTCGAGCTGGATAATCTTCGCCATCACTTTAGCCACTTACGCGTTTTCGCGGTGAACGGATGAAGAGGATGATGATTGGCAAATGGTGGAAGTGCTTTGATTCTGTGAAGGACCGGAACGTGTGCCTGCCGTACTGCTTTTTCGATTTACTGCTGCGGCTGTTGTTTGTAGACAACGCGGTTGCAATCGCATCGTCGCTCGGCCAATTTTCATCGAATCGGGTAGCATTACTGCATAGAAGTGGTTGTACCGGAAAGAGCTGGCTTCTTTGCGACTGTTGTGCCTTGATATTCTATGCCTTTCCGTTTGAAGTTTCGAGTTACATAAAAAGTAGCGGGTATCAGTGATAATTCTGTCCTAGAAGTTGGCCTTTGAATGCCTGATCGTGCGCTTCCGAGTACTTTCGGCTTTGGACTAGCTAGACCTCCTTCCACTGTGATTGGCATTGTCCCTCTGAATGGGTGACCGACCTCGTAGCTTGTCATTGCGGCCGTTAGAAGGGCAGGAGATTGAACAGGTCGCGCGAAAGTTGCGACAAATTGGTAAGGAGAAAGAGCTGGCACCAAAAGGTGGAGAATTCATCCAATCACTCCCATTCTTCACCTTATGC